TATTGATTTCAGAGAGAAAGGGAGAGATAGAAACATCAATGATGAGAAGGAATCATTTATTGGCTAACTACTGCATGCCCCGTACTGGGGATTGAGCTCGCAACCCGGGCATGTGCCCCTGACCAGAATCAAACCTTGGACTCTTCAGTCCACAGGCTGATGCTCTATTCACTGAGCCAAACCTGCCAGGGCTGAATATACATTTTTGAGGACACCTTGTAGACTGTGGTCCAGTCATAATAATGGAACATCATACAGCCATTTGAAAAGGAGGGGGAGCCCTAACCGGTTTGGCTCAGTGGATAGAGTGTCGGCCTGCAGACTGAAGGGTCCCAGGTTCGATTCCGGTCAAGGGCATGTACCTTGGTTGCGGGCACATCCCCAGTGGGGAGTGTGCAGGAGGCAGCTGGTCGATGTTTCTGTCTCATCGATGTTTCTAACTCTCTATCCCTCTCCCTTCCTCTCTGAAAAAAAAAAAAAAAAAAAAAAAAAAAAAAGAAAGAAAGAAAGAAAGAAAAGGAGGGGGGAAAAGGAAAACATGAATCTGAATGTGTGGATATGGAACAACTGCCAGAAAAAGTGCACAAAGGCAGGTGTAAGACAATGAGTCTAGTTTAAATATATGTATACTAGAGGCCCAGTGCACAAAATTCGTGCACTGGTGGGGTCCCTCCGCCTGGCCGGTGATTGGTGCTGATCAGGGCTATCTCGCCCAGTTCCAATTGGGGCTGATTGGGGCTGGTGGCTGGGGAGGGACCATGGGAGCGCTCTGTGGGAGGGCTCCAGGGTGTGTCTGGCCCTGCCTTGCCCAATTCCAATCAGCTGGACCCCAGCAGCAAGCTAACCTACTGGTTGGAGCATCTGCCCCCTGGTGGTCAGTGAACATCGTAGCGACCAGTTGGTCAACAGCTTGGTCGGACACTTAGCATATTAGGCTTTTATATATATAGACACACACACACACACACTTGTGCCTATCCATGGAAATTTTCTGGAAGACCATCAAGAACTCTGGTAATGGCTACCTCCATCTGGAGTAGGGACCACTAAGGTGGAGATTCACTTTTCATGATGTAAACTTCCATACTGTTTAAAAAATGTGTGAGTGTGTGTGTGTGTGTGTGTAATATAATATACTTGTATTATTTTTATAAGTTCTATTAACTTTCTAGGCAATGTTCTAAGGGTATTTTTCCTAAGTGGCTTGAAGCTAGAGAAATCAGAAGTCCTATTCTTGTCCCTATACTTAGAAAACAGACAATCTGATTATGCCTAGAGTTGTCAAAATGTGGAGGCAATGTGTGAAGAAACTAAATATGCTCATCTTTCAGAGGGAGATCTACTGAGAAGAACATGCATAAGTGCAGCCGAAGAACTGGGTCAGCCTCCCACCAGGCCGGCCCAAATAAAGCAGCGAGAAACAAGCTGCTCAGTCTCCTCTGCCTGGAGGCCCAGGCGGCTCTGCACTTGAAAAGATCCACAGAACCACCCGAAGCCCTAAGCACCACATCATCCCCCAAGTACCCTGCACCGGGTTGGGCCCAAAGCATCCCCAGGAGTCTCGGGGCCCAGGCCAGTACTCCAGAGCTTCAAGGAATCAAAGCAGGTAAGCCCGGATGCAGAGGCCTGCCTTGAACAGGGAGCCATGCAAACATCTCCTGGCCTCCTGTGCCTGCGTCCCTCTGCCTGAGGATACTACGCGCATCGCTTTAATAGTCGTACCACTTTTTATAGACAACATTCGCTTCACTTTCCAAACTCCCAGTTGCTTCCCCATATTTCAGGCTCTCATGAAAGGATGTTTCCTTCTAAATTCATGAGAAGGGAAGGCAAAATCTTCTGGGCATTCTGTCCTAGACATCTCAATCTGAAGGATGTTCAGAGACTTCCCCAGACCAAGGGAAAGACCTAGGTGGGCAAGGTAGAGCCTCTCGTATGTGACTTGGCGCCCGGGGTAGGGAGGCCTAACCGTCAGTCTAGGCCCCCCGAGAGGGAACATCACTGGCTCTGAGATCCTCTGGAGCCAATAGCCTCATAGAGGAATAGGAGATGGGCATGGGGCTCGATGGGAAGATGGCAGGAAAGGCTATGGGGCTGGGCATCAGTGAAGATGGCAGACAACCGACAAAGGGTGGGTCCCAGGCCCCAGCTGAGGACGGCCTGGCTTAGGGAGCCCGTTACTTCCCCTCCAAACATGCTGCCCTGAAGAGCTTAAAAGGGAAGCATTTTCTTGGTTAAGTTCAAAATCACTGTTCAACACACTTCCTCATAATTTCTGGTACCGATGAAGAATGTGTGTTCATGAGGTCCCTTGTCACTGCCATGCATACTAAGCAGGCCAGCTCTGTCTATTCAGAGTTTTCACTTCATTAGCAAGAGGGGTGTGTGTGTGTGTGTGTGTGTGTGTGTGTCCCCTTCCCCTCACTCTTCCTGAACTTTGCCCCATTTTGTGGATGACCGAACCTATACCAGTGACACAGGGCAAGAAAGAAAGCCCATTTATAAACCATCCTGGTATATGCTGCTCTTCTTTTTGAACCGGCAGCTAAAACGATATCTGTGGATCTGATTAGGTCTGCTTTGCCCCGTGACCACACATAAACCCAAACTGGTTGCATTTCTGGGAAGTAAAATTTGTTCTCCGCCTTCTCTCTAAGGCACCTCAATCCTTTGTGACCAGCAGGCTCCTTGATGACTAGTCAGGAGTGGGGCCCAGGCCTGACTCTATCAAGTGGGGAGAATTCCCAGACCCCCCCACTGTCTAATTCTGCCTCCCACACATGGATGCACTGATCTCTGCGGTAGTTTCCCTGTCATCATGGCCTTTCTCACGGGGTTTATTTTGTAATATTTCATGATCTCAATGCTGTTTTCTCCAGGTTGTCCATAATGTTCTCGAAATCTGAAACTCCAAACTGGAATGCAGAGTCCAGTACAGACTCACGCAGCCTGGGGCAGGACCACCTCCCTCCTACTTCCTACGGGGTCTTCTTTCCTCTGTAGATACCACCGTCCCAGCTGCTGTCCAAGCACAGGCCGACCTCGCAGCCTGCAGAGCAGCTGCTGACTCATGCTTACTCTGGGGTCTCCTAGAACCCCGGCTCTTCTTCCCTTCAGCCAGGACAGCCCCACCTTTCCGGTCCCATTGAGAACTCTGCCCATCACCTGCGGGGGGAGTAGGGGGAAGTGGGGGCGGGGGGCTCAGCTCTGATGAGAAGTCTCCCACTAGTCCGCCTTCACCTGGCCCCTCCCCCCCGGGCCCACCTGGAAGACGTCGTTGGCGCACTTGCGGCACAGGTTGTGCTGGCAGGGCAGGATCACCACCGGCTTGGAGAACATCTCCAGGCAGATGGGGCAGATGAGCTGCTTCTCCAGGTTGTCCATGCTGTGTGCATCCCCTAGCAGCGGCTTGAAACCCACTGCGAAGTTCATCCCCTCAGTGATGGTGCCCACCTCGGCCTTGGCCCGGACCTGGCCTTGCCTCGCTGCCTTGGACCCCTCCTCCCTCCCTCAGTCTGCGGATTCTTCTGCTGCCTCTGAGGCTCACTCTGGAACTAGCTCTGCTCTCTCCCGTCCCTTCCTCTGACGATATGCTGCGTCCTTAGCTGTTTCAGACACGTCTCCTCTCTCCTCTTTGCCCTGTGCCGCAGCCACGCGCAGGCAGCTTTCTCTCGCCCTCACTTACTCCCCGAGCAATTGCCCCTGGAAATTTCTCCTTTTCTTCCCCAAACGACTCCTGTTCGCTCTACAGGCAGCACTGTTTGTCCCTCACTCCCCAGAGAGCAGATTAACGTTAAGGTGGGGGTGGGGAGCAAGGGGCCTCTGTGTGACATTCCAGCTCCCAATTTAGCTCCTGTAAGGCGAGCCACAGCTGTCACCGAACGAACGAGTGACCCTGACTCACTCAGGAATGGGTGACTCTTGGGCAAGAGCAGGGGTGAGCGGCACCGCTTCTGGGGAAAGGTGGGCCGGCAAAGGTACCGAGCGCGCACTTGCTCTCACTCAGAAGCCCCCGCGAGCCCCTGGGCCCCGCTCAGCTCCGGCTTGGGCCCTGCTTCCGGGCAGTGCCGGGCAGTGCCGGGCATGACAGCGTAAGTGGGCCTGCTGGAGAGGGACCACCCATGGCTCAGGGAGGGAGGGCGGGCTGATCTTGGTAGACCGACTACAGCCAGTGAGAATGTGTCTCCCCAGCTTAGCCAGCAACCCCGGCCTGCTTCCTCTGAGCCCCACGACTCACAACAGCAGCACCTGAGACCAGACAGGCTCTGGTCCAACACTTCTGGTCCACGCTGTAGTTGTTTTCTAATCCTTGCCCGAGGATATTTTCCCTCCATTGATTTTTAGAGAGAGTGGAAGGGAAGGGGAGAGACAGAGAGAAACATTGATGTGAGGGAGACCCATCGACTGGTTGCCTCGCGCACACGCCCTGACCGGGGCCAGGGATGGAGCCTGCAACTGAGGTTCGTGCGCCCGACCGACCGGAATCAGACCCGGGATCCTTCAGACCATGGGCCGAGGCGCTAACCACTGAGCAAGTCGGCCGGGGCTGGTCCACTTTTGTTCTTGCCCCAAACTTTCTTACATCGCCCTAGGAAAAGAAGCTCTAGAGGCTAGAGCTGGCAGTGATGCCAGGGCCTAGAACGACCTCATGATCTTGCCCCCGAGAAAGGATGGCGTTCTGACCCACGAACACATCACTGGAGCTACTCCAAGGACTTGATATTTGTTGGGAAATTGAGAGAAGCTGAGCTGGGCAGAAAGGACCTGAATGCCAGGGACCTATTTTGAGCACCAGGGGAACCGGCCTCCAGGGAAACTTTAGAGCTGACAAAGTCATGGTCACACGGCCCCGGGAGGCCTCAGCCCCAGCTCCAGAGTCCTGGGCGCCCCTCTCCAGGGCAACTGCTCTCAGCCGTGAGCACCGGCCCTCACAGGCCTCTCTCTCCACCCTAGGCACAGCTGGTCTTTTGGGCCCCACATAGGCACTGGAATTGGACAAAAGCTCTTTTATTTACTGACATTCTTCAGCCCTTCTCCCAGTCAGGACAGACAAGTATGAGGACGTACAAAACTCTGACCCTCGTGGATGGGAAATAAATGCTGGGGAGAGGATACCAAACAGGTTGTGTGAAGAGGCCCGAGTGGGAAAAGGGTCTGTAAACGTACAATCATTTCCCTATCGTGGGTTTCATGCCTCTGTTTTGAAAACAGCCTGCATCAGAGGTGGTGAAAGAACGGAGGCAAACAGGCACCGATTGAGAACGTCAGGCAACCACAGGGCCCATGCTGATGGGGTGAAGCTGGCAGCTGCCGCCCAGGGACAACTCACAAGCGGGAGAACTACCCCTGAGCCTCAAACGCATTTGTCCTGTCCCCGGCTGACGCGTGGTGGCATGGAATGAGGTTGGTGATGCTAAGGGTATGGGCACCAGAAGAAGGTGCAGCTGGTCCCACCCGGAAAGGAGTACTGTCTTAGGAATGAACCTGATGCTAAGAGTCCTTGGTGCAGAGTTGCAACGAAGGAGGATTAATGGTACCGCAGCTCTGGGACTGGATCCACTCTGCTCAGCTTTCTGGATTGGGTGGAGACATCACAAGTGACTCAGGGACCCTACCCAGCTGACATGGGCTCAAATCCCAAAGGAGGCGCGGGGAAAAGGATGCTGGGAAGTCTATCACCACCGCCTGAGATCTCTCAAGGGCAGGGCTGGGGTGTGTGTGTCTGCTCTCTAACATTAAAACTGGGACCGGAGCTAAAAAAGAAGAGTCGCTGGGCGACCCTGTGTGGCCAGGGTGAGTGACGCCGTCAGGGGCAGAGACCGCATCCTCACTGGGATGGACGCCATCAGTGCTTCTCGAGTTGGGATTCTTGCAAGAAGAGGGGCAATTCAGGGTCAATGTCAGGACAGGGCTACTTGCTCCTCTCTTCGATGTGTCCAGTGGACTGGGCAGTGGACGTCACCTTCATTGGGTCAGCACCTAAGGAGAGAAGTTGACGTCTTATTAACTAGAAGGAATGAGCACCCAGATTGTAAAGCAAGCCCCCTATAGGTCAAGCTATAAACACTTATAGTTCATACTTTAGGGCTATAAACTTTCCATTAAAGACACATCTAAAATTAGTGTATATTCTTTTCTTTTTTAAAAATTTATTTTTATTGATTTCTGAGAGGGAGAGGGAGAGGGAGAGATAGAGATAGAAACATCAATGATGAGAGAGAATCATTGATCGGCTGCCTCCTACACCCCCCATACCCCCACTGGGAATCGAGCCCGCAACCCAGGCATGTGCCTTGACCAGGAATCGAACCGTGACCTCCTGTTCATAGGCTGACGCTCAACCACTGAGCCACACCAGCCGGTATTCTTTCCTTATCCTTTAGTTATCGCTGCATTTCAGTTTTCATACCCCACTCTTCTTCATCTTTTAATTATCTTCACTATCATTTTCTTCCGATCTTCTAAAAGTCGCTTTGTTTCCTGGGGTGGAATTTGAAAAACACATATGTAAACAGGAACAATTTTTTCAGCCTACTGGTGAGAAAACTGTTGCCTTGCAGTTACACATGAGCACCATTAGGTGGCACTGGTGTGGATTCCATTCGACTCACACTTGGAAGTTTAACTAGTTGGAGTGGGGAAAATCTCAGACACTTCATCTTCCTTTTGAATAGACGACATCCTCTAACTTGTCTTCAACTACTACCTTTTCTAGGCACACCCTGCCACCCATTTCTTAACTTAACTCCCACCATTCCTTAGCTTACCTGCCCAGAGGCCAGCGTTACATCCAAACTATCAGCTTGTAGCATAAGCCCTTCAGAAAACAAGTGTCTCCCCTCCCCTCTCTCCACGTTGCCCCAATACCGACTTGAGACTCGCCTATTCATGGTTCACAGTTTCATCCTAAACCACTCTTCCCGGTCCTAACCAGCTCTGACCTTGTCCCTGTCGGGTCCTCACCCGCTCGCCCGGGCTGGGTCTGGACGTTCTGCTCATATTTTCTCCTCGCTATGTCCTCGGGGGGCGGCTTTAGTGTCCCACAACAAAAGCAGCAGCAACAGCAGCAGCAGCAACAGGTGAGTAGAACACACAGGAAGACAAGTGTCTAAAAGGTGGGAAAGGATGGCCTCAGTCTACAGGGCCATTCCAGCTCCCCTCCCACATCCTCCGAGCACCCAGAAAATGAGACAAAAACCATTTGTCCTCGGAGAGGAGGGGCAGTGCCCTTGGTGAGGGGGTCACCCTTTCGTCCTTATTTTTAAGGGACTAGGCCAGAGATGGCGAACCTTTTGAGCTCGGCGTGTCAGCATTTTGAAAAACCCTAACTTAACTCTGGTGCCGTGTCACATATAGAAATTTTTTGATATTTGAAACCATAGAAAAACAAAGACTTATATTTTTGATATTTATTTTATATATTTAAATGCCATTTAACAAAGAAAAATCAACCAGAAAAATGAGTTCGTGTGTCACCTCTGACCCGCGTGTCATAGGTTCGCCATCACTGGACCAGGAAGACTTGTGTACCTTGAACCAACAACTGTTCATCATAAAATAGTATCTGACGCCGTCTTCACCAAAGTGATCGTATAAATACAATCCCAACGAGCCATGCCGGTCGTAGATTTTCCGCTTCTTTTCATCACTCAGTACAGAGTGAGCAGCGTTGATCTCTTTGAATATTTCTGCTGCTTGAGCATCCCCTGGATTTTTGTCTGGGTGATACTTCAAGGCCAGTCTCCTACCAAGGCAATATCCAAAAGGGGGGTGGGGAGAGAATAGGGAGTAGCTGGGGAGGAGGGGTAGGATGAAAGACAGGGATAGGTTTCTAGATAGTGACGAAGGAACACCTCAGTTGTCCAATATTAGACGTGGTACAAAGAATGGAGGCAAGCAGGCCAAGTCTAAATTCCTTCCCACGCCACACTGAAGAGGATGGTGGCCCCACCCAGCCCCAAAGTGTTTTGTGTGTGTGTTTTTTTTAAATGGGCCAGAGAGCAAAGTAGAAAGACATGGGTCTAAGGGCGTGAAAGGGCTTCATAAGAGGCTGAGGTCTGAACCTGTAGGCCTTTTTGATTTCATCAGGTGAGGCGCCCTTCTTGAGCTCCAGCACTGCGTAGAGGCTCGTCCCGGTCTTGGACAGCCGGCGGGCTGCTTCGTCGACGTGAGTCATGATCTAGTCAAGTGAGGACGGCCACAGGCCAGGCTGCAGAGACGTGAACTCCCAGTGGCAGGAAACGCATTGCCTTCAGGGGCAAAGGGCTACAAAGGGACACGCATAAGACAACGGTGAGTGGGAGCTGTGACTCGCAGGAGAGTGCCGGTTCCCAGAGAAGACATTCAAATTCCATTTAAATTTTTTAAAAAATATATTAATTTGAGAGCTAGAGGGAGGGAGACAGCTTGAGATGTGCTGCTCCACTTCTTTACGCATTCACTGGTTACTTCTTGCCTGTGTCCTCACTGGGGGCTGAACCCGCATCCTTGGGGTATCTGGAGGATGGTCTAACCGACTGAGCTGCCCGCCCAGGGCCAGATTCAAACTTTAGAGAGGAAACCTCTCACGTCACCCGGTGTCCTCACATCACACGATGCAGACCTCCAGCCGCCCCACATCCTAGACAGCGGTACCCAAGAGGCGGTCTCAACACGGAGGAGGAGACTGGTTCCGCCCAGAGCTCCCGGGGCCTTAAGTAAACAGCCCTGGTCGTGCCCACACTCCTGGCTGGTGTGAGAGACCCGGGCAGCCTCAGCCCCGCGCAGACGGGTCAGGAGTCTGCACAGCACAGTGTCTGCGGGAGACACTGCGGATCACACCCTGGACACCCAGCCCGGCCCAGGGCAGCGCTCACAGCCAGGCCAGAGGCTGTATTCCTCCCTGGCCTCCCCTCTCACCTCCCCCACCCCTGCCCCTCGGAGACGGGGCAGCGACACAAACCGAGGCTGAAGCGGGAGTGAAAGGGGGCAGCTGTAGGGCCGGGGTAGCTGTACGGCCCGGCCAGCGACCAGCAAGGGGACAGGGAGTGAGACCCGGAGATGGGGAGAGCCTGCGAGGATGTGGCCCAGGAGAACCAGGGCAACGAGCTCGGCAGGGAGCGCTCCGGCTCCCCAGGCCCCCTGTGCTGGGTGGACTCCCCGCCGGACCCGACCGGCCTCTACCTCCTTTCAGCCAGCCGGGCCGGCCTTCCACACCCTCCGCCAGGGCGTGAACCCTCACACCGCGGGGCCAGTGGCCCTCTGCGCCTGCGCACTGTGTCGACACTCGGGGTCTTTTTTTGGCGCCACCGGAAGGTCTGGGAGGCGAGGCTGAGCGAGCCCCGGGACTTATTTCGCTCGCGGGAAACCTGAGCGTAGGGATACGCCAGGCGCCTGCAGACCAGGGCCGCGTGGCATCTTCTGCAGCCCCTGCCGCGGGCAGCTCTTCTCCGCTGGGAGGGAGCCGCCTCGCTGGTCACCCTCCTGGCTCGGGGACTCACTTAAGGAAAGATAATGGGCTTGCAGGAGGGGCTGTGTGAGCAGTATGGTTGCTGCACGCCTTTCTCAAGGCGGGTATTACCTTCCCAGTCTTCTTTTTCACCTTCTTGTCTTTCCCTCCCACCTGGAAACCGGTGCACGTCCTTTAAGACTCACCTCAGATGTCAGTATTCCTGGGAATCCTCCCGTCATTCCCCCAGTTATTCCCCTTGCCCTGTCAAAGCATGTATCCTATTATATTGTAATTATTAGTTCGCACATTCCTTTTTAAAACAATATCTTGAACATTTCCAGAAGTTACTACTGTTCTTCAAAAACTTCCTTTAAATACTATGACATCATGCATATGTACCATAACGTAAATGTATAATCCAGATTGGATAATGAAGATGTTTCTAATCATTCGATAGTATAATAACCTTGTGATGAAAATTCTTACCTTACCTATCAATCTTTAAAGAAATCTCCCTTTGCCGAAACCGGTTTGGCTCAGTGGATAGAGCGTCGGCCTGCGGACTGAGAGGTCCCAGGTTCGATTCTGGTCAAGGGCATGTACCTGGGTTTCGGGCACATCCCCAGTAGGAGATGTGCAGGAGGCAGCTGATCGATGTTTCTCTCTCTCTCTCTCCCTTCCTCTCTGTAAAAAAATCAATAAAATATATTTTAAAAAAAGAAAAAGAAAAAAAAGAAATCTCCCTTTTTCCCCTTGGAGTAGAAAATGAAATTTTTTGAGGTCCTTGACCCATATTACTAACTCTCTTCCCAGGAAGGTACCAAAAGTACCAATTTACATCCCTACCTAGAGGACATGAGAGCACCCATCTCTACCTGGCCTCACTTCAGAGATCCCCTACAGGAAGTAGTGTTTGCAGCACTAATAATTTACCACATCATATTGGAGAGGAAAACTCAGTGGTTCCTATAACATGTAATTGAAAGAGCTTTACTAATTCAATAATACATCTGTTACCCCCTCTTGTGGTTTTTACCATTCTCTTTTCTTCAATACAGTTATATGTGCACATTTATCTTCCCTTTTAGGTTTTAAGTGATAAATCAATACTCTACCCCAAGAGATATGAGCCATCTGAGCAAACTAGCTAAGGAGTCCATATGTTATAGGCACAATGACCACTGAACTAACGAATTTATTTCTGTAGGTTTGTGATCAGGATGGGGGTAGATATCTGTAGGTCGGTGACCAGGCTGCGGATTAAAATATTTGGCATCACCCACCCAGCCCGTAGGTTCTGGGTCAGATGAATTTAGAGGGTAGTGACCTAGAGTGAAGGAACTAAAGCTGACAAATTTTTTCGTGGTTGGGACTATGCCAGATTTCTCTGACTAACCTCCAACCTTTTATCACCATCAGGGGAGGACAGAAATAGCAGAACAATATAATCATTTCTTCGCTAGCACTGGGAGGAGGGAAGAAGGCATCAGAAGTGCAGTGCACTCAGCAAGTTCCTCACCTCGGTCTACAGGCCCAATGTGGTCCTGCCCCTGCCCCTCACTCCCACACTTTTCCGTCAGTTTTGGAGACACCCAGTTTCCTTCCATTTCAAGGGCCGTTGGCTATGCTGCTCCCTCTGCCTGGAGGACTCCTCTCTGGACTGTTCCCTATGCCAGCTTTTCATCTTTTGTGGATCTCAGCTTCCTGCCTCCTCAGAGAGGCCTTCTAAATGGAATTCCACTCTACTCTCCCCACTTCATAATATCCTCACCATGATTTGTGAATAGATGTTTATTTGCATGTTGATTTGTTTAACGTCTGTCTTTCCCAGTAGGCAGTGAACTCCATGAGGGCAGGGACCTTGTCTGTTCACCATTGTATCCCCAGCACCTAGAACCAGGCCTGGCTCACAATAAGTTAATTCATGATTTGTTGAATGAGCTACAGCAGAGGGAGCCCTCTGCTGGTCCAGTGTAGACTCAGAGGTCAGCCCATAGCAAGGGGCAAAGAGAAAAGGGCAGCAGGGGAGATGGTAATGGTGATTCTGGGCTTCTTGTTTCTTGTTTGTGTTAGTCTTCGTCTAGTTCCTAACACAGTTCCTAGAATGTTTTGGTGCTCAATAAATGTTGGTTGAATGAACCAGCAGACTTTTGAGTGCCTGTTCAGAGGTACTTTTACCCAATTATCTCTGATTCTCACAACAACTTTATATGATCATGTCCCTGCTTTATAGAAGTAAGTGCCAAGAAAGAGGGCAAGTTGGGTGCTGAGTAAATATCTTTCACATCTTGCCAGAGGCTCCAGAAGGTAATTACTTCTTATCATTGCCCTCTGACATTCTAATGAATTCTAATTATAGTTCGTGGCTCTTGAAATAGCCATTATCTTTAAGTTTCTGAGCCTCTGTTCTGACTGAAATGACACTACAGCCAGCAGGCTGCAGAGATGGGAATAGAGCAGGCAAGTCATCCTTGCACCCTTTGGCTGCAGGCTCTCCACTTCGCCTTCACCTAGAAACAGACCTGCTTTGGCTCTGTTTCCTGCACGCACGTTGTATCTTCTAACACCCAGTACAGAAGAAAGAACATACCAGCCAGGAGACAGAAGCCCTAGTTCTGAGTTCTCACTATCTTTCTAACAAGCTGTGTCATCTGGGACAAGTCACTTAATCTGAGCCTCATTTTCCTCTTTTATTATTATTACTAGAGGCTCAATGCACAAAATTTATGCATGGGTAGGGTCCCTAGGCCTGGCTGGCGATCAGAGCCGATCTGTGGGGCGACCTGTGGGGCGATTGGGGCCCACCCGCTGGCACCTGCCTTGGCTGGCTTGGGACCTGCGGGCTAGGGGCAGCTCCTGCGTTGAGTGTCTGCTCCCTGGTGGTCAGTGTGCATCATAGCAACTCGTCGTTCCACTGTTTGGTTGATTTGCATATTAGGCTTTTATTATATAGGATTTTTTAAAAAAATATTTTTATTGATTTCAGAGAGAGAGGGAGAGATAGAAACATCAATGATGAGAGAGAATCATTGATCGGCAGCCTCCGGCATGCCCCCTGCTGGGGATCAAGCCTGAAACCCAGGCATGTGCACTTGACGGGAATCAAACCTGGGACCCCTCAGTCTTCAGGCCAACACTCTACCCACTGAGCCAAACCTGCCAGGGCTCATTTTCCTCTTTTATATAAACTTGCGTCATTTCCAAGGTTGCCGTCAGTACCAAATTACATTTGGAGTAAAAAGGAGGGGAAAATGAAAATAACTGTGCTAAAGAATGAGCACAGACTAATACCTTTTCTGGGATTATTTGCCCTCTCACCATACCTTGCATCAGGAATCTTCAAGTTTACTACCTCATCGAGCCATTTGGTCTCTTCTGCAGAAAACCAAGAAACATCCTTCATTTACCCACAAACAACGTTTTAGTCATATAGCTGGAATGTACACATACAGACAGCAGACATTGACATATTCATACCCAAAATATCATGCTCTCAAACATATGCAGTTGGAGAGAGAGAGAGACCATAATTTGTCACACCCAAGCACCAGGTTCTAGAATTCGCAATGTTTAAGCTGGAAGGGACATCAGAGACTGAATTCTTATCCAATGCCTTTATTTTGTAATTGAGGAAAGTATGACCCAGAGATAGGGACTGACCTGCTCAAGGTCAACCAGTGAGGTCTTCTGACTCCAAGTTCAGTGTCTATACGGTGGCTTCTCCTTATACACACCAGCGCTCGCTCTTTCTCTCTCTCTCTCTCTCTCTCTCTCTCTCTCTCTCTCTCTCTCTCGATTTCAGAGAGGAAGGGAGAGGGAGAGAGTTAGAAACATCAGTGATGATAGAGAATCAGTGATCGGTTGCCTCCTGTATGCCCCCTACTTGGGATCAACTCCAAAACCCAGGCATGTGTTCCCACTGGAATCAAACCATGACGCTCAACCACTAAACCACACTGGCCAGGCCACACCAGCTCTCTTTAAAAATCTAGGTTAGAGACAGACCAAAGCTGTAGTTGATATTCAGCTCCTTTCATGGATGATGTCAGGAAATGTCCCTCTTCCCCTCCCCACAAGCATCTCAGGGTGGGAGGTGGAGGGCTTCCAGCGAGAAAGGCATCTCTTACCCCTTCCTCTCTGCCCTGCAACCCCAGACTCTGCAGACCTAAGGGCAGGCCAACGGGGCACACCTGCCTCGCCTGCAAAATGGAGATGGTGGAGTCTACCTCTTGGGGTTGTTAGGAGGCTTAAATATTTAATTTGAACAGTGCTTGGCACATGGTAAGTGCTTTCTCATTTATCATCATCATCGTTTCTAATCTATCTCCTCTCAATTTTGTAAAGAGAGAAGTTACTTTTTATATTGTCTCTGGGAAGAGAGGAAAAACCAGTCCCCTTCCCTTAAGAAGATTTGCAAATTATAATTGGCATCCTTCCATCCCCTTTCTGCACCCTTCTCAGCCTTGTAGATCCCCATTTTTTTGTTCCCCTGACCAGTGTCCACCTGCTGCTTTCTGGCTACTCAAAATATCTCCGACAGTCCTCCCCCAAGCAGTCAGAACTCCAAAATTACCTCTCTCACCGCCTCTCCTTCCAACATTTTTGATAAAAAATACCTCCATAAAATGATCTCATCCGCAAGGGTTAGGTGGGAAGCAATCTGATTAAAATACTGTTAGTTCAGCTTACAGTGAGAAAGACTATAATACTGCACCCACTTATTCTTACTAACGCAAAAGGAATAACTGCAATTTCAGGCTATGTTTTGAGAAGAGACTTTGGGCCTTAAATCACTTCTCTC